GCCCGCACAGCCAGCAGCGCCCGTGCACGCTGCGCGCTGCACGCGGCCAGCTGCTGGCCGAGCCAACCAGCGACCGGTTCGACCGGACTGCCACCCGGTCCAGACCGGTTCAGACCGGCTGGACCGGTCCAGATCCATTTTGTCCGGTTTAGCCTATTTTGAGCCCGGTTTAGTATTTTGAGTCATTTTCAGTAAATTTTCCGGGATTATTTCAGTTCAGAAAAATCATGTCCAAATCAGTTCAGATTAATTCAGTTCCGGTTTATCCGGATAAGTCTAAAAATCAGATTAAGTTAAATAGAGCATCTTAACGAGATTAATCAGTTAAGTTAACAGTCTGAGCATAGTCAATAGTAATTGTTTATATTATTTTCAGTTTAGCAGGCATCAGCACTACCTATCAGTCAGTCAGTTTAGGTGGGGACTCAGACTAAGTACTACATTGTCTATAATTACGCTACCATGTTCGAGGTATGTATATTCAGTATCCGCTCGGAATGGTCGCCGGTCCATTCTGGGTTCTAGTGGCCTAATCTAACCACTAGAGTGTACACATGGTCCGGTATTAGTTTGTGCCGACAGATTTCAGTTATCAGTTACGTGACTTATGTCGCGAGATCAGACCGGTATCAGATATCAGTTTCAGTTTCAGTTTCAATTTCAGTTCAGTTATATATGCTTAGATCATGATATTGTTATTATTTACAATGTTTACATTAGTATGAGTTTCTACGGAGCACAGTGCCTAGTGCTCACGCCCCAGTTTTATCTTATTTTTCAGGTCAGCAGGTCGGGCCGGGAGTGTGACATGACGGGAGCCGATCGGGATATTCAGGACATATATATATATGTGTTTTGGACTGTATAACTAACATTTACGCTTCCGCATACTTTTGACTATCTTTTGACGATGTTTGATGATTTTGACGGTTTTATCATATTTTGATAAACTTTTCAGAAAATAAAGTTTTAAATAACCAGACGTTTTTAATAAGTTAAAACAACGGTTTTTCTAAAGTTAAGTAAAGATTTTCACGGTAGCACCCCAAATCAGTATCGCAAAGTAAAAATGTTTAGTTTTTCAAAGACTTTGCGATTAATTGCGCAACTCTGATTTATCTAGTAAGGTGGGGTGTTACAAGGGGTGTTACAATTGGTATCAGAGCACGTTTCTGCGTCTCTGATAAGTTTTCAGTCAGATAAGTTTTCAGTAAGTAAGTTTTCAGAAAAGTTTTCAGTCCGAAATATTTCAGTAAAACCCGAACCGTCATGTTCACGCCCCGCCGACAACAGGTAAGTGCTGTTGCAATTCAGTTTTCAGTTATTATAAACATATTACTTTGTCTATGCTCAGAATTGAGGATCAGAACTTTAGTTAAGATGCTCGAATCAGATTCAGACTATAGAGGTTGGACATGACTCTAGAATTCAGGCATTCAGATATGACCCTAGACGTTAGGATTATTCCCGAGATGACTCTAGAGTTCTTCAGGTTTTCAGTCAGTAATTATCGGCCAATTTTGGCAACTCGTCAAGAGATCTGTGTGCCTAGTAATCAGTCAGTAATGCTATCGCATATTTAGTAATGTTAAATCTTTTCAATGTTCAGATGCCGCCACGTAGAGAGCCCGATCATCAGGGTCCTACCCAGGCTACGGTAGTCGCCCAGTTCCGCGATTATCACACAGAGAAGTTAATCGTCGATGAATGGATTCAGGGGTTGGAGTTTATCTTCAAAGTTATGGAATGCCCCGATAGGTTTCGCGTAGTCTGCGCTCAGCTTCAGCTCACTGGCGACGCGAGGCTCTGGTGGAACTCCTACTGGAGCATGCGCCCCGGTGAAAAG